TATGGTATAGACAAAGAAAGATCAGTGTCAAGAATAAAGCCAAAGGGAACGACGTTGGAGTTGGTGATCAGAGAAGTTTGTCCAAGGCTGCTGCTAACTGACATTGGACACACCACACATTTGCCCAGCAAGCAGTTCTCATGCCACCAGAGTCCCTCGGCGATTATTTCACCGTTGCCATAGCCAAAGCTGAGGCTTATGTGATGCAGCAAGGTCACTCAGCAACTGATGAATGGATATTTGATCTTGGGTGGTGGCTTGGCACCGACCCCTAGCACGAGCTACAGATCTCGGTGGGAGAAGCTGAGGAAGTGGTGTGGTTAGTGACTTCCCCCTGCTGACCTCAGTGGATGCCCTTTCTTTGTCATTCTCTAGAATACAGTGAGGGACAAGGGAGGGCTCAGGGAGATGGGTTGGGCTTGTCTGAAGGACTCTGGGGAAGAGGAAGAATTTTCTGCCCTTTGCTGTGCTGTCTTTTTTTTTTTGCCTGTCTGCCCGGTAGCTGTTCATCATTCCCTTAGAGGCGCTATGCTGTATGTCAGGGAGTCTGGAGGACTCGAATTGAAGGTGGGTGTGCTAGCCAGCACTTGTTGTGGAAGAGGCTGTGCAGAATGGAGGCCTGCCCAATTCCCTGGGCCCTTGGCGCTTCTATGCCTCCTACTCGACGAACCCTGAATGAACGTGCACACGTGCACACACACACCGCAGAAAGAAAAGGGGGAGTGAGAGAAGAGAGGGAAAAAAGACACACACACACAGAGTGAGAGACAGAGAGAGAGGGAGAGAGAGAGAGAGAGAGATATGCGTACACACACAAAAGGTTCTCCTAGCCAGGGCTCCTCAGAGGCTGCTCCGTAGACCCCTGGACATGGAGGAGAGATAGTGATAAAGCCAGAACCCTGACGATGGATCACTGCTGCAGTGATGATGGAGGAGAGTGTCAGCATCACCTGCAGAGAGCCGATATCAGGGTGACAGAGAGTCCTATCAGCAGTGTCTCCACCAACCGTCTTCCTGCAGTCAACATGGGGGTGGCGTCTGCCCAGATCTCTAAGATTTTCATTAGGTCCAGTCTCCTTCCCAAACATGCCTTTTCTATGGGAGATGTGCTAACCAGAGCTGTCTTATTGCGTGCATCAAAGAGCTCACTGGGCACAACCTCCATGCATGGAACTTCAGGGATAGTGATGAGCTGATCTCTTTCCCTTCCCAGTTCCCAGAATCCTCTAGGGTGTGGCCTATGCCATGGACTGCCTTGTCTCCCTTCTTATCTGCCTTGCTGGAGGCTCTCTGTCTCACTTGGAAATGTCTGTTGTCTGTCCCTGCGTACGACATGCATGCTTAAGTTGGCCTCTTGGGACCTCTCTTAGGGTGTGCCATGTTGAAGAAGACTTCATCTAGAAGAGTGAGTTTGCTTCTGTAGATGTACCTGGGATCTCTTTTATCTGTCCGCTGACTCATTAGCATGGATGAGCCTCTTAACCTTCCCGGGCCTTCAGTTTTTTTATTCACTGAAAAAAGGGTACTGGGGAGAGGATGAAATTTGAGTATCTCATAACAAATGACTGGAGACTGTGACCCCCATCTCTAGGATCCTCCTTGTGCGAACACAGAAGCCAGGGTGTGGAAGAGAGTCTGGATTTCTCTCATGGCAACTGACCTGGTATTATGGGAACTAAGGCGGTCTTGTGAGAACCCCATCCACCCAGTCTCAGGCTGTCACCTCCACTCTGTCTCACAATAGCATCACTAGGAAAAGCACACTTCCAGCACAGAAAGGTCTGGGGGACGCATTCACATCATAGGTGAGCCATAGCAAGTTGCTGGGCTAGAACAGGGCCCGGGACCAAGGAAACGAGGTGTTCAGGAGAGTTGGCACAGGTGTGGAAGTACACAAGGGTCCTGATGGCTGTGCATCTGCTGCTGTCAGCAGTGGCTCGGTCACTCTCCTGTCAACTAATGCCTTATGTTTGGGGCATCCTGACAACCCTGGCCTTTCGGCTTTTCTAGGTCAGACTCTGATACCAAGGTATATTTTTAATAATAATAATAATTATTATTTTATTATATTATTTTCATTGAGACAGCAGCTTGCTTTGTAGCTCCTGGTCCTCCTACCTCCATCTCTCAATTACTGTAAATACAGTCACAGACCACTGTATCTGGCTCCAAGACTGCCACTTTGGTAGAACGCTTGAGGTCCTGGGCAGCAAGAGTTTCTGCGTATCCAACTTTCAAAGTAGAGGATGCATCTGGGTTGCATTCTCTGACTCCATTACTTTAAAGCAAGGAGGTCACATCCACAAGATCCTTGAAACATTAGCATGGGGCCAAGGGCCGTCTCACTCACTTCCCCGGGGAGAGGACCTCTTTGCCACCACACTGTTCCCTGGAGCAGGTTGGAGTCCTGCACTTGCTAATAGGTGTCATCTTCTCAGTCTCCTACCCTCACTACTCTGGTACACTGTCCCAAGCAGTTCGTAAATACAGTGGGTCTGACCCCTTTCTCCGTTAGGAACAGAATACTCCGAAGCAGGACCTGCTTTCTTCTTCAGGCCCGCAGCCCCACCTCTGCGTTCTTCTCCTGGGTTATCTCACCACAAGACTGTTGGAATGAGCAGCAGTATGGAAGACAGGCGTGTTCCTTGGGATGGATTCAGCTGACTGCTAGCTTGGGTTTAATAACTTATTTATCACACGCATCACAAAGCTAGCTCATAAATAGATTTCTCAGCTGAGCTTGCGATCCAGGGCCAGACACTTTTGAGATGCGGAGGAAATGGTCAAATCCACAGCCACTACCCACAAAGTTTAACCAAAGGAAGGGGTGAAGCTGGTAGGAGAGGAGGAATTGATCTTGATACTTTTTTGGAGTGTCTCTTGGGTGCACAAGGCAGTGTGCATCCCTAGTCTCTCCTGGTATACTCTCAAAGGAGGAAATGGGTCAGAGAGGCTGCAGAGATCACACAGCATGGGAATGCCAGAGCTGGGGGCCCAAACCAAGTCAGTCTGCCTTTGAAGACCGTGAGAACCTCTAGGTTACCACGTAATTATGTTTCTGGCAATGAATTTGACACGTCTTGGAAAAATTCATGAAAGGATGGGTTGGGATCGAGGAGATGGCTTAGTGGGTGAAGTATGCACCATCTAACAAAGTGTGCTTGGTGCAGTTCAGTTGCCTAGAACCCAAGTAAGATCTGCACAGGTGCGGCAGCCCACCTGAAGTCAGCCTGTGGCAGCTGGAGATGGGGGTCCCTGGGGAGAGATTAGCCGAATCTTCAAGCTCCGTGTCCAGTTGAGAGACTGTGATCCGATGAATCTGGTGAAGAGCAATTGAGGAAGGTATCTGATATCAAATCAGACTTCCCGCATACACATTAGCCAGCACACATATGCAGCCATGTACGTGCCAACATGCATACACACGCATGCACATTGAACATATATACACACAGAAGAGTTTCTCACTTCTGTTTTCTTCTCCCTTCCCTTTTGTGCAAATGCCTGTTTTTCTAGCTCCCAGCACTCTTTCTCCTTTCCCTATCACCACTCCTTTCTCTCTTTCACTTTTATGGTTTTTCTAGGGCATTAGATCTACTGGGTCAGAGCCCATGCTGAATGCGGTGACCCAGGCAGCCATTTCTCTGGTGCCAACAGTGGGCAAGGAAGCTGAGGCTGGCTGACTTGTGTAGCAGAAGGGAGATAGGCCATTGCAGAGTTGGCCTCAGCTGCTCCTGGCTGTGACACTGGCTGACTGGTGGCTCTGGCTCTCTCTGGCCTGGGGACGCTGGCCACATGAAGGCACCTAGTGGCTCGATGATGGAGAACTTCCCACCACACAGCTAGGCTTCGGAGAGCCCTGGGATGCTCCTGAGCTGAAACTGCCCTGGTCCAGGTGGTGGGCGGAAAGAATGGGGACAGCTGCAGTGAGCTGGGCACACTGAGCTATAACCCACGGAGTTTATTTTCTTTGAGCCTCCAATATCCTAGGCTAGTAATTAATTTACTTGACAAGTGCTGTCATCTTCGAAAGGGGCTAAGTGAACCCTGAAATGATGGGCTGAACATGGCAGACGCGTTCAGGATCTTGAACATCCTAACTCGTGGTGGGGGAGAGAGAGAGAGAGAGAGAGAGAGAGAGAGAGAGAGAGAGAACCGGTGGGCATGGAAGGAGCTAGAAGAAAACTTGTCTGCTTTCACTTCCAAAACCCCCATTAATTTCCATCCACACTGGTCTTTCTATCCACTTCCTGTGTGGTGTTAATTATCAGCTCTTACAGATTCCTGCCAGCATCAAAGGCGACTGTGTGGCTGATCAAAGATTCAGGATTGAAACCAAACAAGCAGCTTGTTGCTGCATTTCAAAATCCGAGGACACTCTGGTCCCCAAAGGGCAAACTCTCACGCAGCTCCGTGTCTTCAGGGCCATCCGCAGCCCTGTGCCTGATGATGGCACGGTCTGTGGGTGACAATCTTTAGGGGGTAACTTCAGATAAAGTCCTTTAGTGGTGAGGTTTTTCTTTTTAGAATCGAGACTCCTCTAGCAATCGTAGAATGCTGTATAGAATGAATGACCGAGGGACATCGTGGCTCCTGTCTCCTGTGAGGCACCCACTCTGTTGTCACCGCTCAGGGCCCCCACTGGCAGGAGCAGACTTTAGGGCTGGAGTGTAAAGTCCAGTCCTGTAACTTCTAAGTTATTCTGGTTAAAGTGTGCAATCTTTGTGAGCTTTGCAGATCCCTGGAGAAGCAGGGATGCTGAGCCAAAGGGCGGAGTCTCTCTTGGAACATCTTGTCTCTGCCATTTATTCCCTGCTTTACTCTAGGTGGGAAGTTTACCCGTGGATTTTGGTTTCTCTATCAAAAAAAAAAAACCCCACAAAACACCTCCTCCTTTGATTTTTTTTAAAGATTAAATGAAAAGATAAACCATTTCAGATGTAAGCTCTATATATGAGGTGGTCAAAAATAGCATTTGAAACTCTTCATTTAGAATGAAATAAAGTGTCTTCTAAGTAATTTATTCCCAACTCATAAATGGTCACGATGTTACGGTAAGTCTAGTAGTCATTTATGATGGATTGATTTTTTTTTATTTCATGTCTCTCTTCAAGTACATAATTCAATAGCAAGTTCCATGGCTGATTTCCTGAATGTGTCTTGAATCTGCATTCTCCCTTCACCTTCACAGCCATCTACTGTGGCCACAGTCACCTCTCCCTCCAGTCTTTGAACTTGGCCCAGAGTGCTCTGACGTTCCTGGCAATAAGAAATGAGGTTGAACCTTTCCATAGAGCTAGAGGATTATGGGACTTCTCTGACCTTCTTCATCAGGGTGGAAGTGATGCTATGTTGCATAAAAAGCTTTCTCTAGAACATTCTCTCAATGCTCCCTCTTGGACCTGAGTCATTCTATTGAAAGGAAGCCCCCAAATGCCATGTATGTATGTCCCAGAGGGCAGCTCCCGCTAAAGCTAGCTTTTGCTATCCCAACCCATTGGAGACTTCTCAGCTGAGGTCCCAGACATCATGAGATCAGATGAGGCAGATGCACTGTGTCTTTGCTAAATTTTGGACCCTCAAAATTTGTGACCATTAATAAAATTGCTATTGTTTGAATGCTTCTGAATAGGAGGTGGGGTGTCATGCAAAGGCAGATGATAGATCCCTCTCCCTGACAACTGCCACAGTCTCTCAGTTTGTCTCCTCATTCCGTTACTATCCACCCTCACACAGTAGCCACTGGGATCTCTTAAAAACAAAACACTAGTATGATAGCATCACTCTGACATGTAAAACCCTCTAGGTGTATTACCTTCTCTGTAACATGTAGGGCTTGCTTGTTGGAGTTTCTGTCCCGCCCGGTACCCCACAACCGGCAAACCCCAAAGAAAATCACATAGAGATCTCCATAAGTTATAAACTGATTGACCCATCAGCTCAGGCTACTTATTAGCTCTTGCAGTTTACATTAGCCCATTGTTCTTATCTATGCTAGCCACAGGGCTCGGTACCTTTCACAGCCGGCAGGTTACATCTTGCTTCTCAGTGGTCTAGGCAGGAATGGATGAATGGGCTTTCTCCTTCCTAACATTCTCCTGTTCTCATCACCCTGCCCCTACTTCCTGTCTGGTTGAGCCGCCTATACTTCCTGCCTGGCCAATCAGCATTTATTCAAAATAAACAGATTGACAGAATACAGACAATTCTCCCGCACCACTTCTCAGCCCATGTGTTCTGGTCCCTGCCCTTAGTGGGACATTGGCATCTTCTGCTGGAAATAAGATGCTAATAGGACCGAACAAACCCCTGTTCCTGCTTAGCTTCATTTTCCCTACTTTGGGCGTCAGGCAGCCTGTCCTGTGTCGTGTGGGTATCAGGAACACAGTTCCCTCACCCCAAAACCTTCACAGGCCATCATGACTATCCTGGATCTTTTCAGCTATAATTTGTCTTTTGGCTTCCGGCATTATGGTAGTTCCCTTCTCCCTTTGAAATGCAGCCACATTTTAAAACACTATGAAGCATTTCTGTGTGTTTGTCGCTGGAGGGTAGAGTTGCATCAACTTAATAGGCCATGTTGCAAGAAGAATACTATTTATAGGTAATATGATCGTGTACTTAACTCAAGAGAATCAGCTAAAAGGCACTTGGAAATGAGACCAGTTGGCAGGGTGGTCAGATATTAGATTCATAAACCCAATGGACTTTTTGAGAGAAATAGTGCATTGAGCAACTTTCCTAAACCCACAGTGTCCTTAATACAGACAAGATCCAAAATTCTGCCAGATTAGGTCTGCTTGACCTTTCTTGTTTCTATCTACTTTCTTCCTTAAATGTGACCTTTGGCAAACGTGTCTGTTTCACGGTGGAAAGTTCTGTGCTTCTGATGGGTAGCATTTCTACCAGCCAAAGCACTCTGTGGTTCAGGCTTGCTAGTCCAGTTACAATTTGTCTTCAGGGTTTTCCATCAAGGACAAGGTGAAGTAATAAGAATTATTTTTATTTACTTAATTGTTAGTCATTTTCTTACACGTACATTCTGTACATTGAGCCCATTCCTTACTACGCTGTTTCCTCCCAATTCCCTTTTCTTTCTACTCCATTTAATTGCCTCTTCCTCTAGACCAGCAGTTCTCAACCTGTAGGTTGCGACCCCCACAGGGTCAAATAGTCAATATTTACATTACATTACAATATTTACATTACAATTCATAACAGTAGCAAAATTATGGTTATGAAGTAACAGCGAAATGATTTTATAACTGGGGGTCACCACAACATGAGGCACTGTATTAAAAGGTCGCAACGTTAGGAAGATTGAGAACCACTGCCCTAGACAATTTCACATCTCCTCTTGTTTAAATATACACAAGCATGGTTTTGCCTGACTCTGAAATCTAAGAACCACACATGAGAGGAAAACACATCAAAAGCACATGTGTGTGCGCCTGTGCAAATGCGCACATGCTCACACCTGTCTTTCCAGACTAGTTTAATTCACTTAGTAGGAAACCTCCCTAGTTGTGTCCCTCCTCCTGAAAACAACAGAACTTCACTCTACTTCGTGGATGAGAAAGAAACATCCTTTGTATATAAAAGTCACATTTTCTTTATCTACGCCTCTGTTACTAGACACCTAAGCTGATTCATAGTAAATAGTTTTTAATGAAGTGAAACTAACTTCTCCTCAGAACACGAACTGAACTCACCTCTTCTTTTCACACTGAGCAGTTCTCTGTCAGCTGGTGCTTGCTGAAGAATGAGTAGACACCAGCTCGTGGTAGCTTACTGGGACAGAAAAGGGAACAGGCCGGTTAATACCACAAGCCTGACACTCTGCATCAGGCTGAGTGGAAAATGCAAAGAGGAAAAGGCCCTCTGCATGAAAAACCCAACCAGCGTACCTGGGGGAAGGACGGCACGCACCTAGGGAGCAGGAATATGATGACGTCACAGACACAGAGCAATGAGGTCATGCCAAGTTCACTTCGTGTGCAGCTCCTGTGACAACGGACTGTGTCTCCTGATCCCCTTTTAAGGAAATTTCTATATCTGAGTTGATGCTGTAAGGAACAAAACAAAACAGAACACAAAACCCACAACCCCGAGCTTGACAAAGGGACTAAAGGCAGACTATTTTTCTTCCTGGTGTTCCCATGTCAACAAGTTGTTATTTTTTTCTTTGGCTCGGTTTGATTCACAGTTATGGACAATAGTTACTAGGTTCCCGGGTTTACAGAAATAGAATGGAATTTTTTGCTCATACATTGAATTTTGTGGAGATGGATGTGATCCCACATTCCGACAGACAAGCACATGGGAGATGATTAAATAAACCATTTCAGCACAACCAGGCTACTTCTGTAACTTTGTTTTGTGTATTTGTGATTTTTTTTGTGTGCCCCAAAGTCTTTGCATCTCTAAAAATTAATAAAAAGCATCTCATGCTGTTCTAAAACTCCTCTCTAACTACTACCACAAGTCTGCTGGGATGGGAAGAAAAGGCAGGGACAAGAGTACTTCTCAGGGGGATGACAAAGGACAACTTGCTTAGCTGATCCGAGGAAGAATTCTAAGCCCACAGTGCAAAAAACTCTGAGAACTAGTCAAATCTACACAAATTCAGGGACTGACGGCAGAAACTTTTGGAACTGGTAGTGGATAGGGTAGTAAAGAGGACCAGTGGAGGGTCGCTTATGAAGCAGGTAGGAATGGAGGTCACAGCTTAGTGGGTATAGAGTTTCTGTTTGGGATGACAAAATGGAAATAGACAGTTTTGTCTTAGGGTTTCTATTGCTGTGAAGAGACACCATGACCACGACAACTCTTATAAAGGAAGAACATTTAATTTGGGTGGCTTAACATTTTCAGAGCTACAGTCCATTATCGCTATGGCGGTACACGGCAGCTTGCAGGCAGACATGGTGCTAGAGAACGAGCTGAGAGTCCTACATCTTGGCCCGTAAGAAACAGGAAGTGGTCTGAGACACTGGGCGTGGCTTAAGCATCGATGAGATCTCAAAGCCTACCTCCACAGAGACACACTTTCTTCAGCAAGGTCATACCTATTACAACAAAGTCACACCTCTTGATAGTGCCGCCTCATATGAGTTTATGGGGGTCAATTGCATTCAGACTACCACAAGTTGGTGTATTGGTTGCACAACTCAGAAAATAGAATTCATTGGGGCTGGAGAAATGGCTCAGCAGTTAAGAGCACTGACTCTTCTTCCAGAGGTCCTGAGTTCAAGTCCCAGCAACCACATGGCGGCTCACAACCATCTATAATGAGATCTGGTGCCCTCCTTGCAGTGATTTCTTTACTTGGGGCAGCTTTTAGCTCCCAGAATTCCCTCTGCCACAAGCCTGCTTTACAGATCTTATTCCAGCATGACATGGTCTTCGAATCCCCTCATGCCCGTCTAAGACTTACAATATTAAGACGGAGTCTTACAATTGTAAGTAGCTACATGAGCACATGTCTCTTATCTTTCTCATGGAGTTTAATCTGATTACTTCCTTGATTAATGGCTAGAAGCATATCCCAGTTTCTATATGCATTCTAATTACATAGGACTGGAAGTAACTGGGGCAAGGGGTGTTATCTTAGAATCCTGCTTACTACAACTATGGAGGAAAACTCTTAAAAGCTTCCAGAGCGAAATAACTCGGTTTGTATGAATGATAAGAAGTGGAATGACTCAGACGGCTCAACGACGATGTCAGGAGCGAGCCGATAACGAAGTGACATCATCACCATTCTGAAAGGAAATGATTTCCTACCTACTGTCTTATACCTATCCAAATAAGCTACCACGTTTGAAAATAGAATATGCACATCTCTGGAAATAAAAAGTCTCAAATATTTACCACCCCCACTCTTTCTCAGACAGCCACTGGGGATTACGTTGCGTAAGCCAGAGGAGTAGCGAATCAACGTGAAGACATTTCATCCTGGAAACAGGAAACAAGGGGGAGTTCCACATGAGGGGAGAGGGGAGACTCCATCAAGATGGAACTGATGGACAGCTGGTGTGAATGACTATGAAGGGAAAAGGACTTAGACAACTGGTCTAAGCTTTTGGTGCGACCCAAAACTTCCACCCACAACACCAAAATGAAGCAAGCAGGGTGATGGATGGTCCAGAGGTCCCAGAAATATCCAGGAATGTAGATGGAACCATGGTTTACTACAGGGCTTAGTTTTAAGTAACTATAGTTTCATTATAATGTAAATGCTGGATGTTGATCTCACTGGAGTGGCAAAATAAAGGCAGGATGCTGAAATGATGGCGTTGCAGGTGAAGGTGTGTCCCCCTGTCCTATGGTCCAGCATCTGTGAGTGTGACTCCTCTGAGTGAGTCTTTACAGGTGAACAAGTGTATGCATGTTGGTTGGAGAGGAGAAATGGCTTACACTTGGTTTTCTATAGTGGGAAGTTGGCAAGTCATTCCTATAAATTAGGAGCCAAGAAGTACGGGATAAGCACAGTATTCAGAGGCTCCAAGACTAATAGCCAAGTGTCATCCTATAGAGCTAAAGGCTGTTGCTTTGGGGATGAGGTTAATGAGCTGAGGGGAAGGAGGCTCGTTGGAGGCTAATGCTTATTTTAGGAAAAAAATCTTTGAACCAGATAGTTATTTATATCGTATACACAGATTGATAAAAATAAAAGCTAAAATTTCCAATATATCAGCAATAATTAAATAGAAGGTATAACCGAGGAAAAAGAAATCCCATCTACCAGGGCAATAAATCCCTCATAGCCTACACAGGCCACACGCCAGGTCTTTATGGCAAGAACGGTCACGTTCTACTGAAGGACAAAGATAAATAAAAACCAGCCTCTGCCTCAAGTAGTACCTGTGGTCGAGGAAGCGAGAGGGAAGCCATGGCAGGTCAGTGTGCGAGGAGCCACTGCTGAGGGGAGAGCCCACAGCTTCCACTTCAGACACTTGTGTGGGGCAGGAGGATCCCAAATGAGAATGTGGACTTCTAGGGAGAGTGGGGAGAGCTTCCCGGGGGATAACAGCTGGCCAGGTGGGTGGGTGTTTGGGCAAGAAGAGAGACGCTTTTCATGGTGGAGCTGAGACTGCTAAAGCTCTATACACAGAAGGAGCAGCTCCTCCTCCTCCTCACATTCGTTCTTTCTTTGCTATCTTTCCCCTTTATCCCTCTCCTCCGTCCACTCCCTTTGGGATAGGTCTCCTGTAGCCTAGGTTGACCTGGAACCTACTCTGTAGTTGAGGACGACTTTGAAATCTTGATCCTCCTATCTCCACCTCCCAAGTTGCTTGGGTTACAGGTGTGAACCATCAGACCCCAATTTGTGTCGTCCTGGTGACTGAACCCAGAGCTCTGGGCATGTTAGGCGAGCGTTCTACCAACTGAACCCCACCCGTAGCCCATTTCACGGAACAGTTATGGGCGCATTTAAAGGATTTCACACAAAGGAGTGAAGAATCAGAGGTGACTTTTTTTTTTCTTGCAGAATAAGCATAGTAGTGACTGACCAATAAAAGATGCCTGTACAAACGGATGATGCCACCATCTTGGAAAGTCTGCAGGCAAGGCTCTTTCAGGACATTGTTGTCAATATGTGTGTTGTAGCAAAAACCCACAGCCAGGGTGGCTCAAAAGCAGGAATTTGTTTCTTACTGTTCTGGAGGTCGGGAAGTCCAAATTCAATTGGACTTGCGATTCTGTTGTCTGGCAAGAGTTCTTGTCCTGATTCTTAGATCACTATCTTTGCATCATATCCTTAGATGGTGATGAGGGGGGGGGGCACTCACCCTCCATTTTAGGCTCCGCCATCATGGTCTGATTACTTCCAAAGACTCCATCTTTAGCTGCTGTCCGCTGAAGGTTGGGGGTGGTTAGGAGTCCAAAATATGAATTTTGGGAGGGAGTGCAGGCACACACTTTCAGCCCCTGTTCCGTGACCACCATTGTGAATGTCGGTCAGCAACGATTGATCCAGGGCCAGTCAGGACATTATTAACCCTACCTGAGGAGATATGCTTCATGGAGGATTTCCATTGCCTGGCACCTCCAGGAGAGGACAAACCCAGGCTGTAATCCCTGAAGGCATAACCACTCTACCTCTCTGAGCTAAAACTGTCTGCAAGTCTTGAGTGTGCCCAAGAACTTCACGCCGAGTTTGACTTGTTTTAGTAAAAGCATAAAAGCAGAAGTGTTGATTAGGCTGGCTCCCAGAAACTCCCTCGCAAGCACTATTTTTCCCTTCTCTCTTTACTGCTGTTCTCTGAATACAGATGTGATGGCTAGTGCTTAGGCAACCCTATTGTCTCATGAGGCACCCAGAGATCGCCGTCTGTGGAGGTGCGGGGAGAAGGTACCTGACATACAGAGTATTTAGGGGTGCGGAGCTGCTGTACGTCCTTGGACTCCTAATCTCTCCATTTTTATTTTAGAAAAATAAAAAATTTCTATCTTAAGTCATTGTGAATTTTGCACTTTTGTATTACTCATATCTAAAAGCTCATCTTAGAAAGCAGGGCAAGGCCGTGGGTAAACACAGAAGTAAGATTTAGCCTAGTCAATAAAGACAGGGCTGTCTTCAGAGAACTAGGGAGATGCAGGACATGCAGGGTAAAGTGTGACAAGATCAGTTTGGGAAGAGTAGAAACTGTCCAGGAGACTCTCAGGTACATGCGATGAGAAAATCAAATCCAGACCAGGCCCCGCGTACCTGAACCAAACCAAACTTCTCCAGTTCTTTAGTGATGTGAAATTAAAAATCCACGCCAGAGCCTTGCTGGGTCCCACAGCAGTTCTGTGGGATGGATACAGGTGATCAGAAAGTAGAAGGAGATGCTAGCTGGGGAAGGGGGTCGGTTGGGACCAAGAAAGGAAGTGGAGGTGGACTGTGGGTTAGACGGATGAACGGATGAACGAGGACAAAAAGGAAAGACACGTAATGTATGAAGAGGCCACGATGAAACCCACTGCGTTGTAGGCTAACCTTACATTTTGATTTAAGAAAAAGGGCAGGTTAAATTCTTTGCTGGTCGGTTTGTAAGCCTCGAGGGGTCGGGGAGTCTTTGCTCTCAATCAGCTCTTTGAACCTCAAGACCAGCAAGTTCGTTTCTTTTCCTTAACGCAGTCGCCTTCCTTCAGAGGTCAGCTCATCTTAGGGTAAGTCCCATCTTTTTCCACACCAACTCTGTGGTGCTTTCCCATCACCAGGACAGCCACATCGCCAGCCCCCGCCTCCAACATGTGTACCAAGAAGGAACAGGGCTTCTAACCCTGCTCTTTTAATTCTGTCATAGACTGGGTTGTTTCCTTTCGGGGCATCTTACCAACATCTTAGACTTCACATTTTGTCTTGCTTATTGTGGCTCGGCAACCCAACCCCATCCCTGCACAAATGGACAGCTCCTCACGGGTGGGCGGGGCCTACCTCTGTCTGTTACAGTTTAGCGAATGTTCCCAGGAGCCAGCATGATGCTTGGCTCAGAGTCAAACCTCCGTAAATTAGGTGCCAGACGAATTAAAGTTGGGGCGGCAGCACTTTCACCGCACGCTGCTTTAGCTCCTTGAGCAAAGACCCTGCTTTCTCCTGATCACCATGCGTGGCTCGTAACCAGCCTGTGTGGGGGCTGATCCTGCCGCCCCTTGCTCTAATGTTTCCGTGGCTGCTCTTCTTCCCCCGTTCTTGAGAATTGTCGGGAGCAGTGAGCGAGCAGCCACCTGCTGCTGAGCACTTTGACCTTTTGCAGCACGCCTCCTTGAGGGATGAATCACAGTACACAGCGCGCTGCTCACATTCCCCCAGGATACTTACGCTTTCATTATCGCTGCTTTGAATTCCAACACAACTGCATCCGCTTGTGCCATGGCTTTCCTCCTTGGTGGATACAATGGGATTAATAATATTTGCAACATGATGCAAAAGAAGGCAGAACTCCTGCGAGACGGCCACTCAGTGACTTATCAAGGGCTCTATGGTTCAGCCCAGCAGGACCCTCCCCCGCCCATTCTTCATCTGTTGCCATCTGTCGGTGGGAGGCCAAATTGGTGTGATTTTTATTGCGTGACTTTGTTGTATCTCTAAAAGTTATAACTTGGGAATTTCGAAGTAGAAAAGTCTTATGTTTTTTTTAAAAAAAATCTTATGTGTATGATATATTTAATCATACACATAAGTCCAGACTGTTATCTCTTAATTTCTTCTCGTAGTAGGAATTCACAATTCGTATTCACCCCTCTGTGCTGCTTTCTCAGGGCCTGGTGATGGGAAAACAAAGCCCACCTGGCTGTTGTTTAAGCTCACTCTGTGTCACCCTGTGCTCTGCAGAATATTAATAGGTGTCCCACCTAGATGAACATCTGTGATAAGAGAAATTCAAGAGCCCTGCAGGCCCCCCTCTGTTACACACAGAACACCATCTTCATTTCAAAGGTTCTTTTTAAACCATTACCACTTAACTTTTTTAGCCCAGGGTTTCTTAACCTTGTTCGACAGTGTATCTCCCACATTGCAGAATACCTAAGTTTGCGATATTTCCATACAAATGCTGAGATGCCTATTTATCTGGTAGACCACAGATGTTTCTTGGACCCGAGACTTGGTCCCAAAACGAGGGTGAAAGCATCCCCGTAGCTCTCCCAGCAGAACGCTGTGCACAGGTCATTCTGGCCCCGGAGCACAGCACTTTCAACAGCGCAACCCGGGAAGACAGCATCTGCCTCACTTCTGGAAAGCGCCCTCACACTGTCTAGTTCAGGGATGTTGAATACCTCTTCCCAGCAGGTAGGGCTTCGTCTCTGTAATTATCGCATTTCTGTGGAAGAGACACACGGGAAGATTCTGGCAGTTCCAGGGAGGCTCCAAACACTTGTTTTGGTTTTTGAGTAGGTTCATCTTGGCTTCTGCTAGTCTTCACATGAGTAAGAGATTACTCACCGTGTGGGTGTGGCAGCTCAGCTCGGGAGGACACGGTGGGGGCACAAGTTTCTTTGTTTCTTTACTTGATGCTAATCTCAGGCATCCAAATGAGAAAGACATCCCAGTGTGCTTTCTGGGAGATCAGGCTGGGGAGACTTCTGTGGTTGGGTCTTCCTTAAACGCCAGTGGTGGTATCAGCATTCCAGGGTATGTTTGGGAGTGTGGGTGGAGGTGGGGAGATGGCTGGGGTTGATGAGTTGTGAGGTGTTAGAAAAAAAAAATCCCTACTGTTTAGAATGTAGAGCCAACGGACCCAAACTCAGAGAACCTCTGCGGGAAACATATGGTGAGCTTTGCAGGCTCACCCTTGATCAGGAGCTGTGAACAACCTTGAGCCCAGGCTGAGTTTGAAACTCTCAGTCTCCAGCTACCCCAGGGCCATGGCTGGAAGTCAGGTGACTATGTGTGTCTAGCCGTGGAAACCCTTTATTGTCATTCTTCCCAAGGCTTTCAGAGCATCCTCCAGATTCACCGACGTGTTTGGTACCAGTCCTTATGGGACCGCTACTGCCAGTTGGCCACGGAATGACTTGTTTGACTTGATGCTCTCGATCTCCTCTAAGCACATTCTTTTGAAAACGTTGATTTCTAGTTGACGAGTGAACTGATAATTGTGGGCGAATCGGGAGGGATGACCTTTGGGTGTGCTCAATTCCACGGAGACTATTTTTGGAAATTATTGACAACTTCCTGCCCTTGACCTTGGTCTTTGGCATAAAGTATCTTAGATATGGGTTTCTAAGGATGTGGTCCAGTTCTCTCTCAAGAGGCTTTTGTGTTGTTGTCAGAGTTATCAGGGGCAGTGTCTTTGCTGACTCTCACTTATACAGCTTCCTTCACCAGGACTTACTGTGGCACCTGATAGTGACTGAATTCAACGAGGCTTTCTAAACAAATAAAGATAAAGCTGAACCCAGACACCCCATCTAAACACCTCCACTTTGGTTTCCCGACTACCCTGTGTTTGGCCACTCCTGCTGGGGTGGGAGCATTCCAAACTCCTCCCTCAGGGTGCCAAGAGGTGGTCCCCTACCCTGGAGTTGCCTCGGTCCAGACTTTGTCCCTGAGAAAGCCCGCCTTCGGCGGCCCCTCCTCTCCTGGAGGCTCAAACCACGCCTACCAGGCCTATAGATGGGCCACCTGCCCACCCGTGCCCTTGGGTTCTGTCCCCTGCCTTCCTGAGGGTCATCTGGGAGCCACTTTGCATTGCCCTGCTTATTAAACCTGGACTTATTAATTCGGTCTGATTTGGCTTATTGTATCGGCAGCAGAGGAATCCAGCAACCGGGGATCCAATACTTAACACCCTAAGTTTTTCTTTGTAGGATTTAACACCATCTGCATGATATGTGTATAAATTTAGTGTTTGTTTATTATAAACCGCTAGAACTAAGCACTCGGGGGCAGGAGTCTTCCTTTTGTTTATCACCAAATGCCAAGAATCTGGATGGGAAAAAAAAATCTGGAAATAGTCATGGGGTAAAAGAGAAACTTAAAAATTAAATGAAGTAATATGGGACCTCAAATGATGTCATTTATCTTTATTTTTTTTGACTGCATTTTGACTTTCATAACCTGGACTAACTTTTCTCTGTGGAGGCAAGGTGGCTTCCACCAGAAAGCAAACTTTCATTCAGTAGAATCAGCCTTTGTTTACTGGCAAGCATAGGTCATCCGAAGCATGGCCAAGCAGAAGGAGCTGTCATTAGCAAAGCAGAGATTCTGAAGAGGATGCAGTTTCGGCATGTGTAGTAAGACATTTCAACTCCAACAT